ACATGTAGAGTGGCGTCGGCTTGTCCCTGGCGAGCAGTCTAAGTAGAGGCTTGTGATCAGTGACAATCGTAAACGACCTTCCATACAGGTATTCATGGAAGCGTTTAATGCCGGCTATGATGGCGAGGGCTTTCTTATCGAGCTGGCTATAATTCCACTCCGCTGATGACATGGTTTTGGAGAAGTAAGCAATAGGGGCTTCGGTGCTGTTGGGCAGCTGGTGGCTGAGGACAGCTCCGACTCCATATGGTGAGGCGTCGCAGGTCAGGATCAGTGGGAGCGACTCATGGCATTGGATGAGGAGGCTGTCGGAGGAGAGGAGACTTTTGATTTTCTGGAATGCTGCCTCTTCTTCCTCTTCCCACTTCCCTCTACCGCCTTCCCTAGCAGGCGGTGGAGCGGTTCAGCAACGGTGGCTTTCTGGTTCAGAAAAACACTATAAAAATTCAGCAGACCCAGAAATGCCTGAAGCTCCGTTTTTGATTTGGGGGCTGGAGCCTCGTGTATAGCCCTGACCTTGCTTTTGGTGGGGTGGATGCCCTTGCTATCGATTAAATAGCCCAGGAACTCAACCTCCTGGACCCCAACAACGCGTTTGTCCCTTCTAACTCTTAAGCCCTTCGCCTGGAACCGCTGTAGAGCAAGCCTGAGCCATTCCATTAGTTGGGCTTCTGAGTTTCCAGAGATTAGTATGTCGTCAAAGTAAGGTACCACCCCAGGAATACCTTGGAGAAGGCGTTCCATCATTGATTGAAATATCCCCGGGGCAGCGCTGACTCCAAATTGGAGACGGTTGCACTTAAATGCCTCCTTGTGTGTGACGATTGTTTGTGCCTCCGCAGTTCTTTCATCTACTGGCAATTGCTGGTAAGCCTGGGCCAGGTCCAGTTTCGCGAAAATGGTCCCGCTGCCAAGCGAATGCAACAGATGTTGCACCACTGGCACAGGATATGCGCTCTGCGGCAGTGCCCAGTTGGTGGTACACTTATAGTTGGCGCAGATGCGCACAGATCCATCATGCTTCATGGGAGTCATAATGGGGGTCTCCCATGCCGCATGATCAATCGGCTCCAGAATGCCCTGGGCAATTAATTTATCTAGTTGGGCATCCACCTTAGGCCTGAGGGCAAACGGAACTCTGCAGGGCTTGAGCCGAATGGGTACAATTTTGGGGTCTAAATTGAAAGAAATGGGTTTCCCCAGAAATTTACCTAGACTCACATTGAAGACGTCCTTGAAGTCCTCTAAGAGGTGGTCGAGTGCGCTAGCCTGAATTTTGTTGATTCCGCCAATTGTGAGCCCTAGGGGCTTGAACCACTCCATGCCTAGTAGGGTTGGACGGGCTTCCTTAATGACGGCGATGGGGAGGTGTCCTTCGAAGTCCTTGAACTTCACCCAGATGTTGGTCCGTCCCAGGATGCCAATGGAGTACCCTCCGAAGTCCACCAACCTCGCTTGGAACGGCTCTAGCTGTTTCCTGGATAGCCGCGGTTGAATTCTTTTTAGCGGGTCCCAGGCTATGATGGAGTACGGTGAGCCTGAGTCTATTTCCATGGGGCATGGGGCCCCTTCCACGTGGACGGTCATGTGGAACTTGTCGGACCCTTCTGCTGCAGCATGTGCAATTGTTGTCTGTTGGATCCCTCTGCTCTTAGGGTGGCCGTTGCCGTCTCGCCGTGGGTACTGGGACCATTTGGATGTCCTCTGGTATTCACAGTCCATGGCTCTGGGAGGCTCGAAACTTGGCTCTGCCGCCCTGCAGGCTTCTGCAATGTGGCCCTTTCTCTGGCAGCATCTGCAAGTTGCATCCAGCCAGCGACATCTGGCACGTGGATGGTCCCCTTTGCAGCTGGCACAGCATTCCTCCCGTCCGCCATCTTGGGGTTTTTCCCGCCATTGGGGTCTTGTGACCTTATGGACGGCCATCTTAGAATCAGAGTCCGACCCTGTGGAGGTCTCGTCCGATGATGGCTGCAGGTTCCTGCGGACCTTGTAGATCCCCTTGGATCTTCTCATTGCGGCTGCTGCCCTGTCGGAGGACTTGGCGGCTGTGGCTTCCTCGATGACCTCTTTTAGGGACACTTTCTTTTGGCTGAGGAGCTTTTTCTGGACTGTGCTGTCCCTCATGCCGAAGACGATGCGGTCCCGCAGCTGAATGTCCACATTTTCAAATTCGCAGCTGGCCACGATCTTCCGGAGGGCCGAAATGAATTCCTTGACCGATTCTCCTTCTGCTTGATTCCTCTGGTGGAAATCGAATCGGTTGGCCAGAGGCGTGCTTACTGGGGCGTAATGGTCCTGGAGCACTTCTTGCAGCTCGGACCACCGCATCTGCTCGATATCCAGCGGTGCCACGAGGTCCATGGCCATCTCTAGGACCTCCAAGCCGCAGTGTGCCAGGAAGAGAGCCCTCTTTCTGCTGTCGTCTAAGTCTGTGAAGCCGCTTCCCACCAGGAACTGCCTGAAGCGGACCATGAAGAACTTCCATTTCTCAGTGCTCGGATTGAATGGAGCCATTGAGATTTGTGGTCCAGACATGGTTGTGACTTAGCTCGTGCTTCAGCTCTTTGCTTGAGGGGGCAGTTGGCTTGCAGCTCTTCGTTGGTTCTTCTCTAGTCCTTCGTCGCCAGTGTTAGATCGGCGCCGGAAAGAAACGCGACTCAGCTCTTGGTCCATTCAGCACTTTATTAGACTAGTAAAACAGACTGCCGGCAGTGGCTCCCGAGCCTCCTTATATTCTGCTTGGGCCAGCCAGCTGGCCAATGACAGTTGTTCAAACTTCCCGCCAGTGGAAGTGACCAATCCCCTGGCGGATGTCCTTATAAGGACATAACATGTACCATCTGTAAAAAGGTTTACATTTTCTCTTATTATTTTTCAGATTGTATGACTTTGCTATCATCTAGCAGTTATCCAGATTTTTGCAACCCCAAATCTGGTTGCTTTACTTTATTAAATGTAGGATGGAATGTATTGAAGAATTAAATTATGTTACAGTCATTATAGTTCTATAATATAAATTTCAGTTCCTATTAAAGTCTAATTTAAGCTGTCCATTAGACATGGATTTTGACTTCATTTATTTTGCATTTAGCAAATCTTACTTATCCCTAAATAGGTCAGTTCAAATTGATGCTGTTTATTCTTTTCTAGTAATACTGTTCTCAAAGGCACATTCTTTTTCATTACATTTTACATTTACTGTATTTATTTATTATCTAACTATATTTATATAGGACTATATCAGGGATTTCGAACAGCAAAGTTATAGTGTCCAAGATCTCATTGCACAAATGAATTCCTCGTAGCCAGAGAAAGAAAGTTAGCAAATAGACTTAGAAGTCAAAAGCAAAACCAGGTTAAGACTTAGACAAGGGTCTGGAAATCAATATTTAAGATTCAAGCAGAAAAAGGAGGGCACCCTGACTGTTGGATAATCAGTGTTGACAAATTAACACAATTAAGACAGTCAGTGAAGAGCTACTCTTAACCAAAGACAAGTTCTTGCAGCAGCTACTATTTCATCTATACTCAGCTCGTGTTTTTTCAAGCTCCCTCAGGTCTAATTGTAAGGTCATCTAACCACACTGGATTACTCTCAGGTTTCTCTCATCTTTACAACGCTCTTCCTTACGTTTTGTCAGGGACCATTCTTGGGACTGCATTAGTGGGTCTAAATCAATTCATAATGCAATAGGATTATTTTATCTTTCTTCTTCCTCTCAGAAAGCTGCTATGCCAGGAAGGGCTTCTTTTACATTTGATGGATAGTGAACATCCAGTTCCACAGAAACAAAACAATCAATGCTTTGACTCTATAAAGCGGTTTGCTCCCATGTGCTCCCTTTTCTATTTTGACTGCTTGGATACTAGCTTATGTACCCCTGAAACTTGGTAAACAGAATTGTTTTGTTTTGACTTCTAAATTCTGAAAACAGCTCTTATTTTCTTTCTTGTAAATCTTCTACAATCAATTATAAATATATTTATATGTATTGTAGAATAGCATTGGATGTGAAATGGTGCTTGTGTAAGTATATACTGTAAATCCATTGCAAAGGATCTTGGAACTTGGATTGAGGCAAATTTCTAAGAGGTCTAGCAGTGTATGGAGAGTAGGCATTAATGACTTATAATAGTTTGCAAACTATTTTCTGTAACTTGTTATTCTCTTAATATTTCTGTGTTGTCAATATTATTTTTTATGTTGGTACTTCCCAGTTTTGATTTGGAATTGAAGACTTAAAACTGGGTTAGCACCTTAGCTTTATGAGGTATTCGAAGGGAATATGGTAATTCTTGCATTATTATGCTAAAAATACTATTACTTCACATACTATAAGTGCAGTCACTCTGGTCCACTTAAGGTGACTGAAAAGTGGAATTTCTCCAAACTTGTTGGTTATTTTTAAATTATCCTTATGCTTTGGAGCGTAACATATAACTATTACTAAACCATAGATTCCTATTTCAGTACACCTCCACGTCTTTCTAGATCAGGCATGTCCAATTTTTTGGCTTGCCTAGTCTGCACTGAGTGTAGAGGAATTGTCTTGGGTCACATATAAATAACAAAGTTCATTTATTTTGGGGGGTTTTGTGGGGTCATATTATTAACTGTCCAGCGGCCCACGTCTGTGGGTTGGACATGCTTGTTCTAGATGATACCATTTTATGCTTCTCATATAATTCTCCCCTCCCACCTCCCGTTTTAATTTTCTTATTGAAACCAAGAAATCTAAGCTGCTCAAAAGTTTTTTTGGATTGGGATAGTAAATAATGAAAGCAACAGGTAACCTTTCTAGTTACGTAGAGAAGGTATATAGAGAAGCTATCAGTTTTAACTGTATCCATGCCATTGGTCCTTGCTAACAGTAAGGTGGTACCAGTCAAAATTGTTATCCACTTTAATTCTTAATTTCTTCTGAGTTTTGCTTATGTCTAGAAAGTTATCTTCCATCTTATGCACTTTCATTCATTCAGGCAAATGTAAAACTTACAACAGAGCCATAGTTTACTGCTAGAGTCTGTAGAGACCATGGAAGGCCAAGGCCAATTAGAATATCAAAGACATTGCTTCCGATGGAGTTAGAAACGGCCATGTCACCCATTCCTGCAACACAAGAAAGTAGATAAGTCAGAATTACTGCAAAACAGAACTACTGAAGCAGATCTCTAAATCCATAGCTGGGCACTGCTTTTATTATGACCAGCTAAGATGTTGTAAAAGCATATGTAAGCTTTCTTCAGAACAAAGTATAAGCAGAAGTTGAGAAATGGAGAAATTACTACTACAATACAGGTGAAACTTGAAAAATTAGAATATCGTGCAAAAGTTCATTTATTTCAGTAATGCAACTTAAAAGGTGAAACTAATATATGAGATAGACTCATTACATGCAAAGCGAGATAGTTCAAGCCTTGATTTGTCATAATTTTGATGATTATGGCTTACAGCTCATGAAAACCCCAAATTCACAATCTCAGAAAATTAGAATATTGTGAAAAGGTTCAATATTCTAGGCTCAAAGTGTCCCACTCTAATCAGCTAATTAAGCCATAACACCTGCAAAGGGTTCCTGAGCCTTTAAATGGTCTCTCAGTCTGGTTCAGTAGGAATCACAATCATGGGAAAGACTGCTGACCTGATAGTTGTGCAGAAAACCATAACTGACACCCACCATATGGAGGGAAAGCCTCAAAAGGTAATTGCAAAAGAAGTTGGATGTTCCCAAAGTGCTGTATCAAAGCACATTAATAGAAAGTTATGTGGAAGGGAAAAGTGTGGAAGAAAAAGGTGCACAAGCAGCAGGGATGACCGCAGCCTGGAGAGGATTGTCAGGAAAAGGCCATTCAAAAGTGTTGGGGACTTTCACAAGGAGTGGATTGAGGCTGGAGTCAGTGCATCAAGAGCCACCACACACAGACGGATCCTGGACATGGGCTTCAAATGTCGTATTCCTCTTGTCAAGCCGCTCCTGAACAACAAACGTCAGAAGCATCTTACCTGGGCTAAAGACAAAAAGAACTGGTCTGTTGCTCAGTGGTCCAAAGTCCTCTTTTCTGCTGAGAGCAATTTTTGCATCTCATTGGAAACCAAGGACCCAGAGTCTGGAGGAAGAATGGAGAGGCACACACTGCAAGATGCTTGAAGTCCAGTGTGAAGTTTCCACAGTCTGTGTTGATTTGGGGAGCCATGTCATCTGCTGGTGTTGATCCACTGTGCTTCATTAAGTCCAGGATCAAAGCAGCCGTCTACCAGGAGATTTTGGAGCACTTCATGCTTCCTTCCGCAGACGAGCTTTATGGGGATGCTGACTTCATTTTCCAGCAGGACTTGGCACCTGCCCACACTGCCAAAAGTACCAAAACCTGGTTCAATGACCATGGGATTACTGTGCTTGATTGGCCAGCAAATTTGCCTGACCTGAACCCCATAGAGAATCTATGGGGCATTGCCAAGAGAAAGATGAGAGACATGAGACCGAACAATGAAGAAGAGCTGAAGGCCACTATTGAAGCATCCTGGTCTTCCATAACACCTCAGCAGTGCCACAGGCTGATAGCATCCATGCCATGCCGCATTGAGGCAGTAATTGATGCAAAAGGGGCCCAAACCAAGTACTGAGTAGATATGCATGATTATACTTTTCAGAGGTCTGATATTGTTCTATGTACAATCCTTGTTTTATTGATTTCATGTAATATTCTAATTTTCTGAAATTGTGAATTTGGGGTTTTCATGAGCTGTAAGCCATAATCATCAAAATTATGACAAATCAAGGCTTGAACTATCTCGCTTTGCATGAAATGAGTCTATCTCATATATTAGTTTCACCTTTTAAGTTGCATTACTGAAATAAATGAACTTTTGCACGATATTCTAATTTTTTGAGTTTCACCTGTATTATTATAGAGAAATTTAAAAAGCCTCCCTAACATTTGTCTTTTGGGGTGAATGGAGGGGAAGGTGCTTTGAGGCTTCCTGTTCATCCTGTTTTTTGTCATTGTTTTCATTAGCATAACTTAGTATGCAGCAGTCGTGGTTTGCTACATATTGCTTTCAATAAAGAGTTTAAAGTGAAGTTTCACATGAAACTCCAAAGTTTAGAGTACACAATGACTATAACCCTACTGCTCTTTTCTTTCTTCTTTCTTCTCTCTGAGAGAGGTATTGTCTATTTGGTTATTCCCAGTTTTCTAGAGAATCTGTTTTTTTTTCTTTTTGAGTCATTGACAACAAGATACAAATGCAGCAGAGAACAGATTTAAAGATGAAATAAACTTAGTGAAACCATGTACCAAACTACTGCTATGTATTTTAATATTAATAAATGTAATAGCAATAGCAATAGCACTTAGATTTATATACCACTTCACAGAGCTTTTACAGCCCTTTCTAAGCAGTTTAGAGTCAGCATATTGCCGCCAACAATCTGGGTCCTCATTTTATTGACCTCAGAAGGATGGAAGGCTGAGTCAACCTTGAGCCTGGTGAGATTCGAACTGCCAAATTGCAGTCAGCTGGCAGTCAGCAGAAGTATCTTGCAGTACTGCATTCTAACCACTGTGCCACTGTGGCTCAATAATAATGTGTTTAATAATACCTGGTAATGATAACTATGTTGATTTATAAAATGAAAATAATAATGATATATTGCTGAGTTACTTTCACTTGAATTACACTGGTAGTGAATACAAATAATAAATGCAACCATTATTGTATCCTAAGGACAATGATAACTGTAGCAATGATAAGAATTACATATAAAGCCCTCCATGGCACCTGGTTACCTAAGAGGCTGCCCTTCTCCCATTGTTCTGCCTGTCTGGTACATTCAGGCAGAGCGGATGTGCTCCAGGTCTCCTCTTTTAAATGTTGTCATCTTTCAGGACCTAGGAAGCGTGCCTTCTCTGACACAGCCCCCAGCCTCTGGAATAGCATCCCTCCACAGATGCTGAGGCCAAGATGGCATTCTCCCTCCTGGGGCTCTGAAAAGCCTTTAAACCTGGATTTGGTCGCAGGCCTGGGATTAATGTACGCAAGGGATGAGTTGTCTTGCTTGTTTTAATAGTTGTTTAGTTCAGGCTGTCTTGTTTTATTTTATGTTTGTTTTGATTACATTTTACATTACGTTTTATATGATACCCAATGTCCAATGAGTGGGAGGCTATATTAAATCTAATAATTATGCTCTCCCTGGCTCCACCCAGCTGCCATCCATTACTGCCCCCTTCCCATTTCTCAATGTGTCTTTTGATTTGAAAATAGCTGTTGACTCTAAAGGGTTAGAGAAAGATTAGAGTTAATTTAGTCTAGCAATTCCCCCCCAAAAAGCAACTCTTCTACAGCATTTGCTGAGAAGAAACTAGTATTGAAAAGTTATATCTGTGGCGTGTTTCCAAGGATCTTACCCAATAACTCCAACACGAAATGTATTTGAATCAGAGTTCTTTATTAATCAGTTATTTCTGTTACAGGTGGACATCTGGAAGTGCATCTGGATCCCTGGGCCATATCTTATATACCTGGGAGGTGGGGCCAAGGTAAGGAGGGATCAGGGGAAGGGTTAGGTGGGTGAATGGGGTTAACCCTTACTCTGCCATGGGGAAGCAATGTTAGGCATTTATATGTAACAAATCCCCCTCTAAATGCCTAACAGTTGGAGCTGTGTGTGTATGTTGTGTGTGTACACCTAGTCTTGAAGTTAGGTAGACGTGCTGTTTATTCTGCAAAGGTTTGGACAGGATGTCAGCGATTTGTTCAACAGTCTCGCAGTGTATGGCCTTGATAAAACCAATATTCGTTAACTGTCTGACGTGCTTATGCTTAATGTCTATGTGCCTTGATCTCTGGCCCACAGCATCTGCCATGGATATGTCTATGGCTGCCTTGTTGTCCTCATGTATTATTATCGGGTAGGCTGGCTCAGTCCAGATGTTGGAGAGCAGGTCATCGAACCATGTCAGGTTGTTGGCTGCCTTGGAGAGGCAGATGTATTCTGCTTCTGCTGTAGATGTGGCCACCAGGTTTTGTTTCCCGGTGTACCAGTGTACTGGGCAGCCGTTGATGAGGAATACATAGCCAGATGTGCTTTTCCTGCTCTTTGTGTCGCCTGCCCGGTCAGCATCAGCATAGCAGGTTAATATGGGCTCTTTGGAGCTCACTGGCTCTAGACTTAGGTAGACATCTATGCTGTACTTTAGGTATCTGAGCACACATTTTACACCTTCCCAGTGGTACGTTTTTGGATCGCTGACGTGCCTAGACAAGACGTTGACCGCTAGGAGGATATCTGGCCTAGTCCAGTTGGCTATATATAGAAGGGACCCAACGACAGACCTATAGAGGGTATTGTCCTTAAATGTTTCACCTTCTTCGTTCATGTGTTTTGAAAAGTCAACTTGCATGGGTGTTTCGCATGGCTTGGCATCCTTCATGTTGCACTTGTGTAGTAGTTCCAATAACTTCTCCTTTTGGGAGATTCTGAATCCTTTCTGTGTTCTGTCGATCTGGAAACCCACGTACTTGTTTACCTTTCCCAGAGTTTTTAGTGCGAAATGCTTCCCCAACTTATCAGTGAAATCATCACATTTCTGTTTATGCTGGCCACAGTATAGAATATCGTCCACATAAACAAGCACGTATTCAATGGATGTGCCCTCCCTTTTGGTGAAGAAGCATAGGTCAGCAGAGGTGGCTGTGAATCCCATGTCCCTGAGAATTTTCGCTAGGCACTCATACCACCTCTTACTGGATTGCTTCAGCCCATACAGACTCTTGTTTAACAACAAGGTATCCCTCTTCTGTGTGTTTCTTCCAGGGGGTGCCCTGACAAAGATCTCTTTGTCTAGTTCCGCGTGGAGATAAGCTGTCTGCACATCGAATTGGTAAACTTCTAGTCCTAGAATTGTTGCTATCACCAGGGCGCTCTTGACACTCTCAGCCCTGACCGTGGGTGAATATGTATCGGTGTAGTCCTCCGGGTATTTCTGTGCAAACCCCTGTGCTACTAACCTAGCCTTGTACAGTGTCTTATTGTCCTCAAGCTCCTTGATTTTAAAAACCCACTTTGTCCCAATGGGTACCTTGTTGTCTGGTATCTTGGATGG